GCAGCAGCCGCAGCAGCAGCAGCAGCAGCAGCACTTCCAGCCGCAGCAGCAGCCGCAGCAGCAGCAGCAGCAGCAGCAGAACATTCGCTGCTCCTCCATTTCTCGTGTCTCCTTTTCTTTTCCTTTTTCTGTCTCCCTCGCCACTCAACTTCTTTGGGCCCTCGCCATTCAATTTGCAATCCACTCCGAGGGGCCCCCAAAACCCTTCGGGGGGCCCCCCAGGGGGGCCCCTGCCTTTGGGGGCCCCCCCAGGGGGCCCCCTGCCTTTGGGGGCCCCCCCAGGGGGTCCCCTGGCTTTGGAGGCACCCCTGGCTTTGGGGGCCCCCCTAGATTTGGGGGCCCCTCTACTGCGGGGAGCCCCCCGGCCTCTGGGGGCCCCCCTGGCTTTGGGGGCCCCCCTGGCTTTGGGGGCCCCCTTGACTGCGGAGGGTCTGCTGCTAGTGGGGGCCCCCCAGGGGGTTTGGGAGGCCCCCCAGAGCCTGGGGGGCCCCCCACAGCTCTTTTTGTTGGCATTTTGTCAACTTTAGTTTTGCTGCTGCACTCTTTGCCTTTTCAGCTGCCTTTTCTCGAGGCTGCACAGGCAAGGCAGGGGGCCCTAGCCCTTGAAGCAGCAGCAGCAGCAGCAGCAGCAGCAACAGCAACAGCAGCAGAAGCAGCAGCAGCAGGGTCACCTGGGGGCCCTGGGGCCAACACCCCCGTAGGGGCCCCAGGGCCTCCTGGGGCCTCTGAGGGTATGAGGGCCCCCTGGGGGCCCCCTGAGGTCTTGGGGGCCCCCGGGGGGCCCCCCTTGGGGCCCCCTGAGGGTATGGAGTCCCCCAGGGGCCCCCCAGTAACGTCAGGGCCTCCCTGGGGCCCCCCTGAGGGTATGGGGGCCCCCAGGGGCCCCCCAATACCATTTTCTTTTCTGGGGTTTGATATTAAAGAGGCCCTAAGATGTCTTAGACCTAAATTGGAATTTTGGGAAGAAATTATTCGCAGGGGGGCCCCCCGAGGGTCTGGGGGCCCCCAGGGGGGCCCCTTAAGGGGGCCCCCTGTCGAGTCCGCCCTTCAGCGAGAAGTGAGGACCAGTGCTGCTGCTGCTTGTGCTGCTGCTGCTGCTGCTGCTGCTGTTGTAGTTGCTGCTGCTGCTATCGATCGTGCTTCTGCGTCTGCTGCACCCGTTTCCTTACTGCTACTTTTGTTCCTTCGTTTCGTCCCTTTCCTGCTGCTGCTGCTGCTGCTGCTGCTGCTTATTGACTGTGCCTGTTCGCTGCTGCTGCTGCTTGTCGCAGGTAGCTGCTGCTTTGCGCAGCATTCCTTTTGTGTCTCCTTCTTTTGCTGCTGGCTTCCCGCTGCTGCTGCTGTCTCCTTTTTTGGCCCTTGATGGTGGGGCCCCACACCTCAAGTTGCTGCTGGAGGTGGATGGGCCCA